ATGCACCACTCCCAATGCCGCTGCAAGTGCCGCAAATGTGGCCATGCCAGTGCGCTTGAAGCTGTCAGTGTGGACAGATTGCAGCGCTTTCCCTACTGCGCTCTACAAAGGCTGGTTTAACTCAAAGCGCTCTACATCTGCAAGTGTAGCCATGCCCAAAGTCACTGAAAAGAGTTTCAGGGAGGAAGGGAGTGTTTCTCACAAGGATCTACAAACAGAGAAGTAGGTATAAATAAACCTAACATACATTCAATCGATTCACTTAGATATATGCAGTTAGTGGCACTTCCTGGTGTGAGGGGGGATCTTCTTAGTGTGGGGTTCTCCTCAAGGCAACTGAAAGAGCTAGTAGTAAAAATGCAAATTATTTTCCACAGGAATTTTGAGAAATTTTCTTTTTTTCCCCCTGAAGTTTCCACCCCCTCAAAATTATTTATTTTTTACAACTAAAAACCAAAATGGATCAAAGAAAAGGTTTAGTTTCCAAATACTGTTTTTGTTAAAAAATTTCAGGTTTTGGTAAAAAAAAAAAAAAAAAAAAAAGTGGCTTTCAAAACTTGAAGACTGAATATTTTTACCAAAAACAGAACAATGTTACAAAAAAAATGGGCCTAGAAAATTTTGGTGTCTGTTTTTTGTTGAAAAGCCAGAAAATTTGGACCAAAATAAAAATATTTTGTTGTTGCAAAGCAAGCTCATAACAAAAAAAATATTTGGATGAAAAACTTTAAACCAGTTGTAGCACGTAGCCTGATCCATCAGCTGGTTATCCTGGGAGCAGGGCAATGGTCCCATCTCCTATCTACCCCATAAGTGTGCCTCAGTGGTGTATTACAAGAGCAGAAACTTGAGTGCGGAGACTGATTGCATCTGGCCCTTGCACAGGTCATCAACAAATAAGCTACTAAGAAAGGAGCCCAGTAACTAGGATCTGAGATAGGAACTGACTGCACATGCTTTGAGATCACAAAATGGAAGGTTGTATGTCATTTTGCCAAGCAACATTTCACCATTTTTTGTGATGGCTGATATCCCTATTATTATGTGCATGCACAATTTGGATTTTTGATTCCTAGCTGCAAACCATACATGTAGTTATGGGAATGTAAATGTCTCATAATGAAACAGTGAGATGATCTGTGCTATGAGAAGCGATGTGATCCTCTTCAAAGGGCTCCAAATATCTCCTGAAAGAGTTCTAAGCCTTTCAGGAGAATTTCCTGTGAGAACAAATGAAATTCATTATTATTGGTGTTTATTACTATTCCATCTGTATTACAATAAAGAATCGGGAGCCCATGGTGCTGGGTGCTGTGCAGACAACAATAAAAAGATGATCCCTCCCCCTTGTGAGCTCACAATCTAGGATTGTGATAGGATGGACTAGGTGGATAAACGGACAAATGTCAGGTGGGGGACTCAATAATGCAAGTGGAGAAATGAGGAATCCTGAACACTAAACAGGAGTTTCAGTTTGCCACTTGCCTAGTTGTTAAGTAAGAAGAAATATGATCAAGTGCTTAGCATGGGACTTTGAAGACCCAGGGCCAATTCCATGCTCAACTACAAACTTCCTGTGTGACCTTGAGCAAGTCACTTAGTCTCCTTGTATCTCAGTCCCCCACTTGTAAAATGGGGATAATAGCATTTCCCTACCTCACAGGGAGTTGCTCAGATATTATGGAAATGGAGGTCACATAAGTACTTAGATAGATTGCCAGCTGGTTGTGTTCTGTAGGCAATGTGGCAGAGGTAAGTGATAAGGAGGGAATTTGAGGTTCCACTCCCATCTTTATTTTTTTGCAAGGGAGACAATATTGGACCTGAACTAATATGTGTAGTTTCTAAGATAGGAGCTTTAGATGTTACATCCCAGCCAGCTTGTGTGACATCAAAATTTAACATAGAATCATAGAATATCAGGGTTGGAAGGGACCTCAGGAGGTCATCTAGTCCAACCCCCTGCTCAAAGCAGGACCAATCCCCAACTAAATCATCCCAGCCAGGGCTTTGTCAAGCCTGGCCTTAAAAACCTCTATGGAAGGAGATTCCACCACCTCCCTAGGTAACCCATTCCAGTGCTTCACCACCCTCCTACTGAAAAAGTTTTTCCTAATATCCAACCTAAACCTCCCCCACTGCAACTTGTGACCATTACTCCTTGTTCTGTCATCTGCTACCACTGAGAACAGTCTAGATCTATTCTCTTTGGAACTCCCTTTCAGGTAGTTGAAAGCAACTATCAAATCCCTCCTCATTCTTCTCTTCTGCAGACTAAATAATCCCAGTTCCCTTAGCCTCTCCTCATAAGTCATGTGCTCCAGCCCCCTAATCATTTTTGTTGCCCTCTGCTGGACTCTTTCCAATTTTTCCACATCCTTCTTGTAGTGTGGGGCCCAAAACTGGACACAGTACTCCAGATGAGGCCTCACAAATGCCGAATAGAGGGGAATGATCACATCCCTCGATCTGCTGGCAATGCTCCTACTTATAAAGGCCAAAATGCCTTTAGCCTTCTTGGCAAAAAGGGCACACTGTCGACTCATATCCAGCTTCTCATCCACTGTAACCCCTAGGTCCTTTTCTGCAGAACTGCTGCCTAGCCGCTCGGTCCCTAGTATGTAGCAGTGCATCGGATTCTTCTGTCCTAAGTGCAGGACTCTGCACTTGTCCTTGTTGAACCTCATCAGATTTCTTTTGGCCCAATCCTCTAATTTGTCTAGGTCCCTCTGTATCCTATACCTATCCTCCAGCGTATCTATCACTCCTAGTTTAGTGTCATCTGCAAACTTGCTGAGGGTGCAATTCACGCCATCCTCCAGATCATTATTGAAGATATTGAACAAAACCGGCCCCAGGACTGACCCTTGGGGCACTCCACTTGATACCGGCTGCCAACTAGACATGGAGCCATTGATCACTACTCGTTGAGCCCATGATCTAGCCAGCTTTCTATCCACCTTATAGTCCATTCATCCAGCCCATACTTCTTTAACTTGCTGGCAAGAATACTGTGGGAGACCGTATCAAAAGCTTTGCTAAAGTCAAAGAATAACACGTCCACTGCTTTCCCCTCATCCACAGAGCCAGTTATCTCATCATAGAAGGCAATTAGGTTAGTCAGGCATGACTTGCCCTTGGTGAATCCATGCTGACTGTTCCTGATCACTTTCCTCTCCTCAAAGTGCTTCAAAATGGATTCCTTGAGGACCTGCTCCATGATTTTTCCAGGGACTGAGGTGAGGCTGACTGGCCTGTAGTTCCCCGGATCCCCCTCCTTCCCTTTTTTAAAGATGGGCACTACATTATTTACTTCAGATTCTCAACAGGAGTTACGGAAAAATGCTCCAATCAACAATTTGTCCTAAATGAATAGTTACTCTTGCTTTTTTTTATATTTTTATTTATATGTTTATTTGTTGTCAAACCTGCTGCTGACTGTTATTTTTTTAATACAATTTATTTTTGCATGACCATTTTCCCCCTGCCTAGGGAATGTGCTACTGCTGATATTGAGTAAAATCACAATTTATTTCAGCCACTGAATTTCCAGGACACTATTACCTTGCCCAAAGGTGCCCTGTCTTCCAGCATTGTGCATGCAGCTGAACTCATTTGTTTTTTCCCCAGCCAAATTCATGCTCTAAATATTGCTGAAAGCTACAAAATTAATTTCCAGCTTGTTATTTTGCTAGACAAACAGATCTTTGTTGCTTTCGCCCTTTCTCTGCACTTTGTATGGGAATCGTTGCCAGAATACAGAGTACTCTCTAGTGACTCAGCACATTAATCCCAATGAGAGCAACAACTCCTTATACATATTTTATAGCAAACAAATGAACTAATAAAAATTTTATAGACTGCACACTATGAAAAGTCATTGTATTATAATTTAAGGGTGCTTTTGGCCCGCACACTCCTCCACTATATTATTATATCTCTACATTTGTCAGTTCAGCAAGAGTCTCCCCCTTTAGATTAATCCCTCTGTGACTGAAGATGGAGAGTTGTGATGCTGCCACTAACTGGCTAAGAATTTGCACCTCCTATTATGGGTATTTGTTTACACATCTTGTCCATTCCACCCCAGCCTGCTTGTTTGTATCATCCAGCTGTTGCACCTTGTCTTTTATAAGCTCCTTGGGGCAGGGGCTGTCCTTTATTATATGTTTGAACAGCACCTTGCACAATGGGACCCAAACTGGTTGTGCTCCCGAAGAGCTACCATAATGTAAACGTTTAGTAACAAGAAGATGGTGACAGAGGTTGTGGGCCAGGTTCTAATCTAAACTGGTGCAGCTCCATTGGCTTCTTTATACAAATCTTTGCTGTGCTAAACGCCTACAGTCTGATTTTCCACTCCGTAAAACTAGTTTATTTTCAGCATGGCTCCACTACTAAGCCACTATAGTTTCATACTGGTTGTAGAGGTCTGTTTGAATGGGGGATTAGTTTGTTCCTTAGTTGGGTCAGACCTCTTGGGCCAGTCACCAGACTCTATAAGCCATCTCTTTCTATTCCTCCCCAGACCCTAAGAGACATTTTAACTAATATGCATATTTAAAGGCCAGTAGTTCTATATGAGAGTAGAAATAGTCCATGTAATTTGTTTCTTTGGTCACGTATGCTTGGATATGTAGCCCAATGCACTTTCCACCCATTCTTGGGAGGTTCTGAATAACATGTGTGATGCTGTGTTGGTAGATCTGACCCCTCTATTTTCACAGCTGGCAAGCAGAGTGGGAAGTTGTAGGTACATGCATAGCCCTAAAAATGCCATTTTCAGGTGTTCATATGAGTGCATAACTAGTCCTAGAAAGATCAAGACAGAAATGTTCTAATAACAATAGACTTTTCCTTTCCTGTCCAGTCACAGTACGATCCACAAACCCCAGTGATCTGCTGAGCTGCATTACGGTGCATTAGTATCTCTTGCACGTACGTTACTGATGTAAATGATCACTGTAGCAATGATAACTGAGTGCATTTACATGTTTCAGGGACTATTACATAACCATGGTGAAATGGGCAACAAGCACCAAAGTGGCAGTAAATTGGCTGAACAGAGCACAGAACGTTTCTATCCTGACGCTGTGTGATGCTACCACTGGAGTCTGCACAAAGGTAGGAAAGACACTTAAAAGAAGATTGTTTGACCTTCCGTGTTTGTAATCCCCCGGGAGAGAATATCCTTTTATCTGAAAGTGGGTCACCTGACACACAGTACTTTATGTATAGATAGAATATAAGAGACATATACAATATTTACTGTGCAAGGGGTATGGGCTGATTGTGGCCCCCTACAGAAAAGCTAGGCACAATCCAGTCCTATCTGTACAATATATATGTGTATTTATATATAGGGAGAGAGAATGTAGGTGCATTCTCTGTCACGCACTCACTCACACACACACCCCTACTATTTTTAACTTGGGTGTCCTTTTTAACATCTGAGCTCAATAGAAATATACATGGGTTTGTCTATACACAGTTTTCTACCAATTTAATTAAATTGCTGCAATTCCCTAATGTGGGCACTTTTATACAGACATAAAGACATGTATATCACTATAGTTTGTTTCAGTACCAACATATAAATAACTTTTAACTAGTATAATTACATCCACACTATGGGGATGCACCAATTTAACTAGTTCAGTTTTTGAACTAGTATAGTTAAAGTCAGTGCAAATGCTATGTGTAGACAAGGCCCCACACGAAGTTGCTGGGAACAGTGTAACAACAACTACATTGCTATCTTTCTTTAGGGAGTAATGTATCTGTTGGGATTCCGTTTTTTGGCAGTAGGATAACATACCTTCCCATATGCTCACTTGCTTGTTTATCAGAGAGCAACAATAGAGGACAAGAAGAGCAGCCCAAGATTACATTCCGAAACAGCATGCTTGAACAGTTTCTCGCTGCTTGTTCACCCCTGTTCAAATTCAGTCAAACTGCTTTCTGCACTGATGAACAAAATGTAACCCGTGCAAACTCTTTAATTATGTCATTTCATTTTAGAAACATGAAGATGAAAGTGAAGCCTGGCTACACAGACAGGTAACAGTGATCTTCTTTTCGTGATTATATTTTCAAATGTTTTTCCCCGCAAGAGAAAAAGCTTATTTTTGGAATTCCAAGTGGTACTTTGATATCATGATCGTTCATATTATAGAAGGGATTTTCTTAACAGAATATACAAGCTCTTCTTGTTGAAGTAAGGAGCATCTTCACCTAATGTATCTGAGACGCCTTCTTTACATAGCAGACCACAGTGGCTGGAAGCATAATTCCAGCATATGTTGAACGTGGATTTAAACAACCTGAAAAACAAGCGTTGGGTGAAATTCCAGAGAGCCAGCACATGGTCTGTCCCCTACTGAAGTCCTTGATTAAGCCTTATTTTGGGGCTTATATTGGATTTAAGTGGTGTGTTGGCCTTTTGCTGGCCCTCCGCACAGGGTGAATTCTACCCATTGCACTTAAATGATCAAAGGTCAAATTATCAGAAAGGATCTAAGTGACTTAGGAGTCTAAGTCCCATTTTCAAAAGTCACTTAGATGTTTAGGAGCCAAAGAGTAACATTTTCAAAAGCACCTAAGTTGTGTTTTAAAATCAAAGTGACTTAGTGCCTAAGTTACTTTTGAAAATGATACTTAGGCTCATAAGTCTACACTACACACCACTTTTGGCAGCATGAAAGGCATGTGTAGCTGCATCCACACTGTGGTGTGTAGCTGCACAAGTCAATGAAAGGCTCTGGCAGGGGGGAGGCAGCAGGGAAAGGCTCAGCCTTCCCCCACTGCCTACCCCTTGTCAGAGCCTTTCCCCACTGCCTCCCTGCTGCCGAAGTCTTTACCCACTGCTGGAGTCTGTACCCTGGCAGGGAAAGGCTCCAGCAGTGGAGAGATGATGGAGTCTTTCCCCGCTGTCAGAATCCTTACCTTCAGCAGGAGTCTGTTCCTCCAGCAGGAAATAATTATTATTATATGAACGTTATAATGTTCTCTAGATAGCCCTTACCTAACTCCAACAAGACACTCATTTCCAGGAAGCAAGGGCAACAATCAAAGGGAGAAATTCATTCTGTAGAGAAAGCAATGGGAAAAGCAGGTACCTCTGAAGGCTGGTTTTCAATGAGTTTCAGTGGTGGTTTATTTACTTATTTCTTGTAATATAACTTTGTTTTAAATTTAACTTTTTAAAATAGGCAAATGGAATCCAGGGTGAAATCCTGACCATATTGACTTCAATGGGACCAGAATTTCAAGCCAAGAGTTTTACATAGAGATAGAGAACTGACAACACCTCCTACTTTGGCTGAGCACAGGTCCACCCCTGATTTTGTTCCCCTGGGGTTGCACTCTTCACACCAGTCCTCCTATTTCCATAGCTGCCTCAGCTCAGCGTTGGTCCTATAATGAAGAATGTTGTTGTGTGTTACAGTGAGATACTGAAAATCTCATTCAACCTCCCTGGTTCCCATCACCATGGCAAGATGGCCCCAGCAATGGTTCTCTCACTGGTAGTTAATATGCAGCATCAGTTACATTTTTCAATAACGCCAGTACTCTGGGAACCTTACAAACAAGTCTGGCTTTTTAACCCTTTACACTCAACTTTCAGTGAGGATTTTGCATTTAGAACCGATGAAGTATAAAAAATGCCTAGCTACCTTGGACTTCATTACTGCCGCACTGCTATCACCTTCAAGTTCCTAGTGACCATGGTGCACAGCAGGGATAGAACTCAGAGCCTCCTGATTCAAAAAGCATAGGCCCCTCCTGCCTGAGCTAAAGGAGATTCCCTGTTTGGTGTGAGCAGCATGGGGCTAATGGCACTTAGTTGAGCAGTTCTGAATCCATCTTGTAGAGAGCAGGGCTACACATAGACACACACATGCTACCCGGTTAATCAGAGTATTTATGTTGTGTTCTAATATTGTTGGGGGTGGACCCTCTGGCTTCAGAGATGGGGATGGTTCTCACTGATATTAAACCACAATACAGACATTTCAGCAAATTCCCCAAATCCACAATCTCACTGAAAGGTGAACTGCAAAGGGTTAAAAAGCCACACTCATCTGTGAGAGTCCCAAACCGTCACTGTGACTGAAAGCTGCCATTCTTGGCATGAAAATAATTCATGGGGCCATCATGCTGGGAATTAGTGAGATACTGTATATACCCAACAAAAATGAAATCTCACTCAAACCCACATGGTGAAATTATTCATTGTGGGACCCCGGGGTGAGCTGGGTCAAGCAGACAAATGGCAGGACTGTCCTGAAGAGTGTAAAGGGAGCAGGGAGGGCATCATAGGAGTTATAGGAGACGGACAGGGTAGTTCAGATTATCTGTTTCTGTGTGAAACTCCTTGACCCTTTGCCTATAAAATGAACAAGAGCAAATTCATTCAAAACAAAACTATATGTACCAATAAATAAATACACATTGACCCTTACTTAAACCGGCTTTCAAAGCTCCCTGCTTTTCTCCACTGATCTCTATGCAGAATTATTATAATTAGTTAGTATGGTAGCACCTAGAGGCCACAGCTAAGATTGGAGCCCCATTGTGCTAGGCACTGTACACAGAAATAGTAGGAGATAGTCCTTGCACCAAAGGGTTTGTGCTGTAAAGAGACAAAGGGCGGGAGGGAAAGACAGAGGTGAAGTATCTTACCTGAGGTCACACAGCAAGTCAGTGGCAAGCCAAGGAATGGAACTTCACTCTCCCAAGTCCTGGTCAAGGCCCCTGTTCTCTGGTTCACCCTGCCTCTTAATGAATGAGTGAATTCTTCCTCCCCACAGTTAGCCTTGCTCCCTGAAAATGGTTGCATCCAGAGTTAATTTTACTTTTTATTTTCATCTGCACCATGCTAATTTTTCTTTCAATGCCAATTTTAGTATTTTTATACTAGACGGTGTGAACCTAAAATGCATCTCCTTCCAGTTCATTTTTGCTCTTTATATTAATAAGATTAAAATATTGCACACATCAGCTTTAACTCAGGCCAGGTTTGTTTTCAAGATCCTTAGTGCTGCTCTATACAATAAGAAGATTATATCCCAAAAATCTCTGTCCCAGTGGCCTCTTTTTGTATGTGTCCATACTGAGTCTCTGTAACACAACTACAGGTTCTTAAAAAAACCTGACTATATTAAGGGAGTTTTTCCACCAGCAGATACAACAAACAGACCGCTCATAACCTCAGAGGAGTACTGATGAAGACCAGTAATCATTTGTCTGATGTATGACTTTTCTGTATACCTGGAAATAGATTCAAGTAATCTGTTAAACCAATCTGTACAAAGTCTACTTCCACTGCCAAGAGAAATGCTGCTACAATAGTACAAATTTATACAAATAGTACAAATTATGTACCTTTATTGATTGGTACAGCTCTATTGACTACAGTCAAAGTGTGCCAGTTTACACCAGCATAGAATTTGGCCCATGGCATGATAGTAGTTTGCCAGTGGGTTTTTTTATCTTCTTAGCATGCCTCTGGAAATAGTCATAAAGATTTTCATACTTAAAGTTCTAGAAACTATAAGAAACAGGTGAGACTTATTTCATGAAATTTTGCCAAGTGAGAGATGGTCGTACTTTTACAATGTTCTAGACAGGTAAGGAAGGAAAAATAAAAGGAAACCTGGCAGGTTAGGCCCAAAATGTAGACTCTGTAAATCTAACACTAATAGAAAGTGAAATAATTAATGAATGACGAGGAGCAAAGTAAAATAAAGCAAGAATGCTGTGGCAGCATTAAAAAAAAGTAAAATGGATTCATTTGTTGTTAATGCAAATAATTAATCTATAACATTAACACAATCCCCAGTATGATCAAGTTGTTAGTATTGATCTTGGTTGGTTCTGCTTGGTGTTTTGACATGTGTTAAGAATGAGACCAGAATATCTGCCATGGCAGGTGTGTCCATTGGGTGGCTTGTGGAACACACAAAGGGCTGACAGAAAGAATTGCTCCATTGAACAGTACTCGGAGAGGGGGAAACTTATGGGACTTAACAGCATACTGAATATGCAAAGAGTGCCCCAGGATAGACAGGGATGGCAGAGCCTTGTTCGTACTCTAAGCAACGGCTTGGGAAGGAAGGCTTCAGATTCTTCCTAAGTTCATTCAATATGCACTTTGGAGAGATTAAATTTTGTACGTTAGTAACCAGCCTGTCTACCAGTAAGAGCTAGAACAAAGGAGGTGCAACCAGCCGAATGCCATGATATATCAAGCTAATGATTTTTGCCACCCTCAGGTATCATATATATCAAAGTCTTCTGCATTCCTTGGTAGTCTACTACACAACTATCTCCCCACAGTAGAAAGGTCCCAGCCACCCATGGATTCCTACAGCAGAAAAGAAAACAAAGCAGTCTTCAGAAACGAACTAGTTGCTGCCTGCAGTGTTTGATTTCCATACCTAGCACCTTGTCTCTCTCTGACTGAACGTTATAATAATGGGATGAAAATCAATCACCAGGTTCACCTGGGAGCCTTGAAGCAAAGACAGTTTTAAAAGACCTTATTTCTTTTTATTCTCCCCCCCCCTTGTAAATAATTTTGTGAATTAATCATCTGTGAGAAGGTAGGGAAGGAGACAGGACTTAGACTCTGAAGGACAGGTTGGTGATGTTTCTTTAAGGAAATGTATGTGGAATGATACACAGCCCAATGCCGTTTTTCCAGCTGAGTAAACAAGATTTGCTAGGCACACACTGCTGAGTCTGTGTTTATTAAAGCGCTTCATTCCGGTTGCCCCCAGACAAACTTCTCTGTAGGCATGTAGCTTTTTCTGTGCTTCACAAATGGGTATTGCCTTTGAAGCCAAGAGTGCTTCCTTACTGTCTGTCTCCCTTTAATTCCACAAGAGGCTAGCTGAAAGATGACTGCTACTCAGGAGATACAAAAAAAGGGGGGAGGGGGGTCAGAATTTCAGGGCTCATTTTTCTCTGTTTTGAGAGGGCTGTTTATTTGTTTTAAGTGGTTGTTAGAAGTCCTCCATTTTTTGCAGGGTTGAACAGTTTTTTAAAAACACCAAGAAGCCCTAACTAGTGACGATTAAACCTATTCAATTGACATTTACAGAATGAAGAGCCAATATTTTCCAAAGACGGACGGAAGTTTTTCTTCATCCGAGCCATTCCTCAGGGGGGGCGAGGAAAGTTCTACCATATTGCCATGTCATCGTCACAGGTGAAACAACCTTTGTTAATCTTTGTCAGTGCTGACTAGTACATGCCATGAACATAATACCTGTGTTGAGATCCAAGATATGGCAAGGTGTCTATGGAGAATTTTAATCCCTCTGACCATAAGGATGAATACCTTAAATGGGCTAAATGCTAGTAGCATTTCAGGCATGCATAGGAGGAACAAGAGTTTCAAATGACGCAGTTTGCTTAGATTTATAATTAAAAGGTCTTCACATTTCAAGCAAAATTCAAAGAATGTCACTTTTGGGGGTTTTTTTAAACAAGCATCTCCTCCATTATTCCTAAATAAGTGGCTCTCTGCACAATCATCCGAGGTTATTATCCAGAACCCATGGGCAGAAGAGGATCACAGGAAAGGACTCCCATCTGTATTCTTTATGCTGCGCCCAATTAATCCCATTATCATCAATGGAGTTGTGCCAGAGATGAATCTGATTCAGTATATTTAAGCATGTCTGCACATTCATAGCAATACTTTGGGGAGAACCACAAATTAGTGATTACTTTTAACAAGTCATGGAGGAGTCACGAGGGCTTCATGTTTTGAGAAATAAAAATAAAGTTTTTTTAGTCTTGTTCAAGTGTCGTCTTTTCAGAAAAAAAGAAAACACACTTTTTTTTTTTTTTGGCAGCCCAATAGCAGCAGTGATAACTTACAGTCCATTACATCTGGTGATTGGGATGTGACAAAGATTTTGGCATATGATGAAAAGAGACATAAAATGTAAGTAAAGAAGTCGGTGTAAGTAGCAAACAAAACAGACTTTCATCTTTTAGTTCTGCTCTAGAGTTAGCTAGTCTACAGGAGCCATCTTGAAAGCAGTTTGTGCGCATGAACAGCTAGATGTACAGACAGCAGGAGAGGGCTGGCTACATCTGTTCGTGGCTTAATCTCTAGTTTACAATCTAGTGTTTCAGTGAAGTCTTGCCTTGATTTGTTCCCTCCCCTACCACTGACTTTGTGTGTTTAATAATCAATCTCATTTTGATATTTGACACACAGAAAGAAGCCTGGTTTACATATATATACGTGTGTGTGTTGCTATGTTTCTTCTTCAACAACTTTTGATTCAAAATTTGAAGAGAGAGTTCTGTGTTCATTGGCTGGCTTTGCTCTTTTTAGTCCTCCTAGTCTTGGAAAGAATTCTGTTTGACACACACAAAAACTATTGTAATGAACAAACATTTCTGCTTGGTAAACTGCCCTCAAGTTTTTACAATTTCCCTCATTTTTACCTTGATCCTTTGTTAGTGATGTTCCAGTTCTTGGTGTGCTTGCCATTGTCCTAAATCTCAGCAAAATACCATAGAAGAGAGCACTCTGAAGGGGTTTCCAGTTCACATCGTGTGGAGTTGCTCTTTCAGGCAAAGTTTCAATGAGATGCAAGATGCTGAATTCTAGACTTCTTAAATTTAAAATGATCTATTGTCTCCAGCACTATCCCACATTGGCACTAAATAACTGAGTCAAAAGGCATAAGCCCATCCTAAGCACTGAATGATAATTAAGGGCCCAATTCTGAAAGGAACTAAAAATGCCTGCAGTTCCTGTTGACTTCAGTGTGAGCTAAGGGCTAAGCTGGCATAATTACTCACATTGCAGTTTTAAAGGCATGTAATATTTGTGATTTGACTGCACAATATGAGAAATCTACATATTCAGGTGAGCCCAGTTTATAGGAAATAGACCTGCTGGATTAGATACTCCAGCCATTATGTTATTCAGTCCTCCCCCTCACCCCCACTAAGACAATATCTGCTCCTGTGGGTCATCACCACCCTTGTAAAACTCGTGGCCTTTGGTCCCCATGGAGATGTCAACCTGGACTTTGTCCTCTGAATTGACGTTGGCCACCCCTTGCATATGCAGCTAATTCAAGGACCTGAAACAGTAATGGGTGACCTCAGAAACCTGGTGCTTTCACTACTTATCACACAGAAATGGAGCTGGCTACAGTGTCACTGTGACGCTTAGACAATGACATTCCTCCCAAGTTCAGGCTATATCTTCCTTAACGGTTGGAATCCCCTCTTCAAGCAGAGGCTCTCAATGGGTTTTCCAGGTGCCTGAACCCATATAGCTGTTCAAAGAATCAAATGTTATAGGAAGAGGGGTGGGTTGCTTTTTTAAAACCTCTAGTTAAAAAAAAAGTATTTAAAGGTACTGTGCACGGTAAAGCTTTATATCTTGTTGGGGTAACTTTTCTGTGGTGAAAAAAGAGGTCAAGTTTTCTTGCTTCATATCACTTACGACCACTTTTATTTTGCATAGTGTGTATTCCCCACATATTACACATGATATTATTATTTTAACACATTGACTTAATTCCATGCTTCTTTAAAAACAATTACAATATTATGTATATTATATACAGTTAACAAAACTTCGTTAATGAGTCTTTGGTTTTGCTTATTCAGTGGATGCCGTACTTTTGCTGCTATCTTCTGTTGAAATGGTTGGTCATGTTCCCACAATTGGTTTCTGAGTGACACATCAATTTTAAACACTCCTCTTCCTGTGGCAATCCTATTAAGTTTCTTTTGGTGTAGTTGCCCTCCCATTCTAAAGTGTACATTTCTGTTTAGAAACTTTTTCAACAGTTTTAAACTATATTTCACTAAATTTTAGTAGGCACAATTCTTTAGGTAGACCTGCAGACCTGTAAAATTTAATAACACTGATACATACATAAAATGAACATTTTTGTACAATATTTTCTTAATAGGTCTTAACCCTAAACCCTTTGGACCTGTTTTTAGTCTAACACATTTTAATCTCTTTTTTTTTTTACTTACAAAACTCCACCATATTGTTTTTGTTTTACTTTCTTAGTAAAATTTATTGTACATCACAGATAAACAGAACTTTTTAATAGGATTTCAATGGTTGGAGGTTTTGTCATGTTTTTGAATGGCCGCTGCACCATTCAAAGTAGCTCTGTTGTTCGTAATTAATAACTTGTTAAAAGAAAAGAGATTTTGGATTGTAGTTTCAAATAGGTTTTGGGTGGTTGGGCTTCACTACAGTAACTCCTCACTTAACCTTGTAGTTATGTTCCTGAAAAATGCAACTTTAAGTGAAACAATGTTAAATGAATCCAATTGTCCCATAAGATTTAATGTAAATGCGGGGGGTTAGGTTCCAAGGAAATTTTTTGGGGCCAGACAAAAGGCATTATACTGTATACTGTACAGTACTGTACTGTGGTTGGGAAGTGCCCCTGGCTTACCCCACACAGCCACAGCCTGCTGCAGGCAAGGACGCTAGGAAGCATCTTTGCAGCAGCAGCTTCCCAAGAGAACAGGCTCGGATTTTGCCGGGAATGCTCCAGGCCCGCCTCTTCCTGTCCACGCTCCACTCCAGGCCCACCTCTTCCCACCCCCACTCCACCTCCTCTCCGGAGCACGCCACACCCCTGCCCCCCCCAAAGTCCTAAGCGCTGCCAAACAGCTGTTTGGAGGCACTTAGGACTTTCTGGGAGGGAGGAGGAGGAGCGGAGAAACCCTGCATCTCCACTCCTCCCCCGCCCTCCCAGAAAATCCTAAATGCCACTAATCAGCTGTTTGGCGGCGCTTAGGACTTTCTGGGAGGGAGGGAGGGTGGGGGAGGAGTGGAGACGCACAGCTTCCCTGCTCCTCCCCCTCCCTCCCAGCACTTCGCGCTTAGGACTTTCTGGGAGGGAGGGGCAGGAGCGGGGAAGCCCTGCGTCTCCGCTCCTCCCCCTCCCTCCCTTCCTCCCAGAAAGTCCTAAGCGCCGCCAAATAGCTGTTTGGCGGTGGGGGGAGCCTGGGAGGGAGGGGGAGGAGGCGGAGAAGCGGAACTTGTGCAATGCTCCCTTGTAAAGTCGCTGCTCTTCCACAGAATCTTACAAGCAGGCAGCCAAACGACGTTATAAGGGAGCATTGCACAACTTTAAACGAGCATGTTCCCTAATTGAGCAGGGATGTAACATTGAAACAACGTTAAGTGGGACAACGTTAAATGAGGAGTTACTGTACTTATATTTATTGCCACACCACTCAACTGTTTAATTCCCCCCGAACTCTGCAGTGTTCATTTGTGCAAAAGCTACCTTTAACTTCACACTCTTTCCTTAAATCACTTACTTATTTTCCAAAGTGACACATTTCTCAGCTGAATTCTTTCAGCATCTCTAAGCTTATTTTTAATGTTTTTTTTTCCACTTGTTTCTTAATGTAGTACACTTTGCATGCAAAGCTGTGCTCACTAAATACAGTCCTTGAAGGATGGCTGCTTTTTACTTTGGATTTATGCAAATAGGTAACAGATATTGTTTTCTCCCTGACCTTTCAGGAATTGTTTCCATTTAGTTTATTTCCTTCTTTACAACTTTCATTTGCTTTTTATGCCTTTTACACTCATCCCTTAAGTTGGCACATTTCATTTGTAAAGTTTTAGCCACTAGAAATAATCCATGTGAAACTTCTGCCTTGATTCGGGTTTTCTTTGCCTTAGGAAAAAAAGAAACTAAATACAATTTTTTCATGGCTGCCAATGGGTCCTATTTTTTAACATTTCAGTGGCATTCAACAGACCTCTGCTGTTCTCTGCCAAGCATTCTTTTACATAGGTACTGAAAGTACCTCTCTAATGTCCACTTTTATTTTGTTTTAAACATGCCTTGATAGTCTGCACAGCATATGCCTTATGTATCTCTTTGTGCTCTTCCAGCCCATTCTTTTCTCTCTCAAAATTTCCCACATAATGGTTAACTATTTTACTTCTCTACACAGGGCTTTTATTTCCAGGATTAGTTCCTGCAATAACAAGCTTTTTGCTTCTCTTTTCTGCATTTTTTATTTAGCACTATTCGTTGGCGTTCCTTTCCCACCCAGTCTCCCCCAGTACCTCTCTGGGAAATCCATAAGGTTTGCCCTTAGATTTAACTACTACTCCAGTGCCCAGGAAGCTTACTCAAATTTAAAACCTTCCAATGCCATTGCTAAACTGATGGGTTGTGATCCTTGGCAGTAAAGCTATCTGTATAATAAACTATATGTTCCCTGCTCCAGATGAATTGATCCGATCTGAGTCCCAGCACCACTATGTTGGGGGGGCCTCTGAGACATCTTCCATTCAGTCCCCCCAGAACTCAGTTTGACTCTCGTCTTAATGCTCAGGTTTCTTTATTTGACATACAGAGAAGCTTTGCTGAGTTGATTAGACTTGACCGTAGAGGGTGGGTCCAGGGTATACCACACATCCAAAGTTACACAGAAGCCCCCTTCCTTTATATACCTTTACACACTACATTGCATCAAATGTTTTGGGATTGGCTTGGTCACTTTGCTGGAACCACTCCCCGTACAACATGCTCTGTCCATTCACTGTCTATATACAACTCACTCTTTACCTCATCTTTATGTTCCCGACTTATTGTATTCATTGTTATCTTGTCCACTGTAAATGGTTCCCTGAGTGTTCCTCCCCTATCTTAGCTAGTAAAGACATTCTGTTTCCATTCCAACCTCCTGATCCATTTACCGGCCTAATCCTGTCTCCCAAGAAATGAGACCTCACCCTTGTCCAATTACTGATGTCAAGCCAAGCCTACATACCTGAATTCAGGGTTTGTGCATGGAGCATTTTCCCCTTGAAGCACAGCTATCATATATACTTCAGAATTGAAATATTTTTGTTTTTATTTTAAATTGCAGTGCAGTTTACCAAACATTTCCTTGATTCTGTGCTGAAGAGAGGTCCCTTCTGATTGGTTTTCTAATTCAGTGAAATGGAGAAGTCACGTATCCTTGCAGTTTGCTTCACAAGATCAAGGAAATGTTCAAAAAAAGGGTGTGAGGATGGAGCTGCTGTTTTATAAGATATTTGTAAATCCCCTTCCAAAACTCTAATTCTCACTACTGTACTTTGTATTTTTAGTTACTTCCTCAGCACAGAAGATTTACCAAGACGGCGACACTTATATAGGTATGTTTTTTAGTCCTTTCATAGAGATCATTTTCCAGTTATTCCTCTATGAATGAGGTCATTACAGAAAATGGATTGTGCCCATCATTACTGACATTGTTTATTCTCCGATTGAATCTAAGGAATAAATATGAGCATGTCATCAAGTGGGAAGAGAGTTTGCAACCAAATTTGAAATGCTTGAAATTTGAGCATTTTCTCATTTCATTGCCAGTTAGAAATTGGTCCCATGCTAAAGCAAATGGCACATTAAAATGAAAACATTTTCAAACAAAATTGTTATGCACTGCAGAAAGTTGCATCGTTGCATACATTTGTATTTTTCACAATCATGTTACTGTCTGTATGGAAATCTGACCAAACCACAGAAGTGCTGGTACTTGAAAACAGGCAGAACAAAATTGCTGAACATTTGTGAATGTTTTTCTGCAATTTCATGTGGCTCCAGTATGTTCTCAATGGTGGTGTAATAGGTAAACAATGGTTAGTTTATGTACATGGTATCTATAGTACAGCTAATAAATACATTGCTGTGTGAGAAGGAAAAAGGAGTAAAGAATAAAAATTCCATCCTAGAAAATGCTTGTTTCAATTGCCAAGAGGCTTTAGAATCCAGCCTTATTTTTTCTCATGCAAGATTTCTAAGCACTGGAAAATGCAAATTTATTAATTCTCACACCCTGGGCTGGAGGGAAGTATTATTATCCTCATTTTACAGACGAGGAAACAGAGGCACATACTGACAGTTACGTTAGTTGTATTCCTCTCTTCTAACATCCTTCCTTCATCCCATCTTGTGGTATTTTGTCCTGCCTTGGAAGCATCCACAATGAAGGGAAGGCGGGCGGGGGCAGTGCTAGCTTCATTTGATACGAGATTGTCAGGATATTTACATCTTGCAGTATGATGTAACGTTTTTTTCTCTCAGGCGGGGAAGGGACTACAACAAACTAAATTACCAGTAATTTAATTCTTAAACCTCTGTATTTGCCCACTGCTCTTCACACGGCTTTGTGAGGGGCTAGGCTACTTTCAGCATTTTTTAATTAAATAAATCATGCTGAGTCTGTTTGGGCGTGAATAAAACTCAGTGTGAAAGCTCAATTCAGGGAGAATTCTTCACAGGAAATGGTGGCACGATTCACGTTGCTTCCACCTTGCCGTACCCCACTAGCCTTTAAAGGTGGCTCATGCAGTGAACTGTCAAGGACAGAGCCTTGACTTATGTAAATTGTCATAGCCTCATTGAAGTCAATGGAGCTATGACAGTTTATATCGGCTGAGGATCTGGCCCTCAGTTTGTGAATTCTGAGTTAGTGCATCACACTGGGATTCCTCTCATGAAGAAAAGTGTGAGCTGGAGAGAACACAGGAACGGGAGCCAGGGACAACTGTGTGATGACCCTAGCTCTGCCCCTGACCGTTCCTGTGGTCTTCAGCAAGTCACACAGCTGCACTGCTTCAGTTTTGCTACCCGTGAAATGGAATAATAATCTTGACATGCCTCACAGAGGTGTTCTGAGGGTCAGTTAGGTAATGTTTGTAAAGCATTTTGAAGTTGCAAAGTGCTATAGACCTTCTAAGTATTATTTATTATTTGTTAATAAATGGTTATTTAGCCTTTAACCAGCACGGTGCTCTTGAGCACACACACAGGCCAAATTGTATACTTCAAAAACAAAGCCGGCAAAACATGATCTTTTTTTTCTACCTGGATGTTGTGGTTAACACTCCACGACCCACTCTTGGAATGTGAAGGGAGAGGATTGTCTATGAGGTAGCCACTAGCAAGTCAGAAAAACTGCCTCTTAAAGAAAAGATCTCTAGTTCTCCTTTGTCTGTAATAAACATCATCTAGCACAGAAATAATCCCTAGTTTCATGTCTATTCCCTGAATTAAAATGTGTTGTGTTTATATTGAAAGTTCAGTTGCATCCATCATTTTCTGGAAAGCTGTACCATCTAACATAATCACCTGCCTTGCACAAAAGCCATCAATACCCTTTAATATCTTTTCAATTCTGGCAACTCCCACCCACCCAAAACCCCAACAATTTAGCAATTTAGAATGCCTAGTCTCTTAGTAATGCTGAACAAGTTATGTTCTTTTTTTCCGGTGCAATGAAGTTAAAAAAATGTTGTTTCAAGATAACCCTCGCTCAATTGACCTTCATGTACATGTATTAACTTTTTCAGTGCAAGCACAAATGGAAACTTCAACAGGCAGTGTCTGTCCTGTGATTTGATTGAAAACTGTACTTATTTCAGTGCGTCATTCAGTCACAACATGGAGTACTTCTTACTGACCTGTGAAGGTAGGTTTATTTTATTATTAAGGATAGATTTTAGGGCAGGCAATAACCAAGCTCAGTATGTACCTTCGAACTGCGACCAGCAGCACAAAGGTCTGTTGCCTTCAAATAATCCGTTTTGCTTGATGATTTAAAAAACACATTTTAAGGGGGGGAAAGTCTTATTCCTAACTGAGGACAATGGTTCTCTCTAATTCAGGCTTTAGTGATTTTCTTGTTCCATGGTAGTGTGTTATATTGTGACATAATGAATTTAGTGACTGTGGGTAAAATTTCCAGAAGTGCCTAAATCCCATTTTCTAAAGTGACTTGGGCACTTAAGAGCCTAAATTCCATTGATTTTCAATAGATTTAGGCTCCTGATTTCAATGGTAGTTAGGCACCTAACCTGCTTAAGAGCTTTTGAAAAGCCTCTCTGCCTCTTTATGCTCCTAATTACCTTTGAAAATCTGGCCTTAAATACTCAAGTTACTTTTAAAAATGGGGCTTAGGCTCCTACATCACTTATGTGCTTTTGAAATTTTATCTATCATGTCCATGTTTTAACACAGACTTTTGAGTATTATTATCAAACATGGGTGTATATATAGCACTACAGTTGTGTATGGGGGATTTTCGTGGTGAGTAAAGACAGTACACAAAACAGGATGCTGTGGGAGGTAACTAAAGGAAGAGGCTTGGGGTATGGACTTGCCTGGTGGTACAGTATACATTTTGGTACAGTAGTTGCACTGAACAAGTTTATTTTATTTTGAAAGATTCTTCCAGTTTCAAATTCCCTGTACTTAAAATGAGAATACACCGGAACCAATAATATCAACACAGAGGTAACTTTAACTGTCACTACCGGTCCTAGTTTTCTGTCCTTTTTAGATAATTATATTTTTAAAGAAAATTGTTATCTGAGGGATTGTGGGAAAAGATGGGGAGGAGGGATTTGAAGAAGTGGGGAGGTTGATTGGCCTACAGAAATGGAGTGTTGAAGGGTAGATTGGGAGAAGTGTGTCCCAGTCATGTTTGACTTTAATAATGTTCTGTGTACTCAATACCGTTGAATTACCTTTTTAAAGACATATTAGGAATAAATGCAGAACTCTGTAACTTTCTAATGCAGTCACCACTTAGTTCTACCAAATTACATATAAACATAGGCCCAGATTGCAGGGCCCTTACTCACCTTGGTGAGCAATTACTCACACCAGTAATCCCACTGAAGTGAATGGGGCTGCTCAATTGAGTAAGTGCTCACCAAAATGAGGAAGGACTTCATGATCTGGCTCCTCACTTTTTATTGTGGTTGCAGAGTAAAAAGGGTTCTTAATTCTGAGGAGTTTGTAATCCTATAGTAAACATGCAAGGACTAAGGGCCTTCTTTGCAAAACCTCAGGCACCACTGACCATCATGGTACTGTGTGTGTGTGTGTGTGTGTGTGTGTGAGAGAGAGAATATCCAGTTTGTGCGCACAGTCATGATGTAATTGTCCAAGTGCAGTTAGGTACTTTTTTTTTTTAAAAGCTCTCAGTCAGGATGTGAATTGCTCCTTGTCTGACTGTAAAGCACTTCTTGTGAGCCAAGAATTGTCATGTTATAATCAACTCCAAGGACAAAGAAGAAGTATTAAGGATGCTACATGAGGAAATAACCAGAAGCAATGTGATGAAACTGAGAAAGGGAATAGTTAGAGTGAATATCAGGCAGAACTTCCTGAGAGATATGTAAGGCTGTGGAGTATTCTACCCAGGGAAGTGGTATAGGCCCCATCATTTGGGACATTTGTCATAGGAGACTAGATAAAACATTAGAAAATGCCCTGTAGGGAGCATCTCCACACTATTGGTGTGGTGAACTAAGTGGCCTCAGGGATAATTTCCACTTGTAATTTCTGTGAATCTATAACAATGGAAGATGTTTACACTGGAGTATAATTGACTGGAGAACATAGAGTAGTACAGTAAATATTACCATGTTGATCAGGTTTGTCTTTTGACAAGGAAAGCTGTGTACATTTTTTTTAAAGTGTCAGTTTCAAGACAGGCTGTCAGTAATTGCTGATAACATTGCCCATTTCCCCTTTTTATAGAGGATAAATGTTTTAATACAATTAGAAGCACATGTGAATAACAAGATTATGGTTCTTATCAACCCCTAAGTGTTGATAAGTTCCTACTGCATTATAGCCAATCTACCATAAGGCTGCTGTAATTCTTTGAGAGATGTACATAATTTATTGGAATATACGTCCCTACAGTAATAAATTACCCAAGTACAAAAGATAATCACTTTCAACTAAACAGCTCTGGACCAGCTCCACAGCTGGTGCAAATCATCATAACTTGTTCTAATTGTACAGTACTATGTTCTCAAAATGTAATCTCAGTTTAAATGCAAAAGTCAACCCACCCTTAACTATGGGATCACTACTGGCATCTCCATAATGAGACAGACTGGGAAAATATATGCATATAAGAAAAGACAGGGGTCCTGATTTGGCTTTCCCATACATCGGTTTTAGATCAATGTCACTCCACTGACGTCAGTGGAGTTATTCCTGATTCACACTACTGGAAGTGAAAGGCGTATCAGGCCCTTTATTTTCAACCAGCGTACAAGGAAAACATTGTTTTGCAGCAGGTATAGGCAAAATATCAACAATGAGGCTTTGAGCTGTCTAACATATGCTGAATATGTGGAGGCATTTCATAATTTAAGCTTTTTCTTTTGCAGTGTATCCATCTTCATTACACTTCATATTCAGTGGCACAGAGAGCATGTTGGTCTTTATTTGCCTTTCACTCACAGTGGTGAAAATTGAAAGTAACTCCCACAGAAGTCAGTGGAACAACACTAGTATAAAATTGGTGTAAGTTAGAGGAGAATCAAGCCGCTTCTGTTTTATGAGTTGGAATAATATGAGAATTCTTTTTTCATGGGTCTTTGTCATGCTTATCATGAATCTGGCCCCGCTTAGGTACCCAAAATGTTTTTTTATTGCTGCTGGATAGCTCAGACCCAGGGGTTTTGGAAGGAACTTCCTGCTAAGTAAGTAGCCATACCTCCCTGTGTGACCACATATAAACATAGCCCACGCAGACATAAAACTACTTCAATGAGCATGTTGGAGGAGCACTGCCTTTCCCCTAGTAGAGAGCTTTGAGGCTGACTCTGCAGCCAGCCACTTTTGAAGAAGAATGCAAGCGTTTTTCTAATGTCTTTGCCTGTCTGCGCTTTCCATGCTCCAGACATTTCCATGTTCCAGTTGTCTAGATTACACTAGTCACAATATGTTGCACTTGTCTACATATATCCGTGACTAGTGATCAGTTGCTCTGTTGTTCCTTTGCACTACAGCGCAAGGGCCATTAAAAGTCCGGTCGGTGGCATGCGGGGCTAAGGCAGGCTCCCTGCCTGCCCTGGCTCCGCACAGCTCCCGGAAGTAGCTGGCATGTCCCTGCAGCCCCTAGGCACAGGGGCAATAAGGGGGGCTCCGTGCACTGCCACTTCCCCCAGTGCTGGCTCTGCAGCTCCCATTGGCCGGGAACCACGGCCAATGGGAGCTGCGGAGGCAGCACCTGCAGGTGTGGGCAGCGCACAGAGCCCCCTGGCCCCAGCACCTAGGAGCCGGCCATGCCGACTGCTTTGGGGAGTTGCGCACAGCCGGGGCAGGAAGACCCTGCCTTAGCTCCGCTGCGCCACCGACCGGGAGCCGCCTGAGGTAAGCGCTGCCCAGCTGGAGCCCACACCCCGAACCACCTCCCACACCCAAACCCTCTGCCCCAGGTTGGAACCCTTTCCCAGAGCCCGTATTCTGCACCCCCAACCCCCTGCCACAACCAAAGTCCCTCCCAAAGCCCACACCCCCTCCTGCACCCAACCCCCCACCCCAGGTCAGAACACCCTCCCACATTCACAGAGCCCGCACCCCCTCCCACACCTCAACCCCTGGCCTGAGCCCCCTCCCACACCCAAACTCCTTCCTGGAGCTCACACCCTGCACCCTCACCCACACCCCAACCACCCGCCCCAGCTCTGAGCCCCTCTTGCACCCCAAACCCCTCATCCCCAACTCCACCCCCAAGCCTCCAGCCGGAGCCCACACCCTCCCCTGCACCCCATCCCCTACCCCAGCCCTGTGCCTGCTCCCACACTCTGAACCTCTCGGCTCCAGCCCAGAGCCTCCTCCTCCACCCCAAATCCCTTATCCCCAGCCCCACCCCAGAGCCTGCACCTGCAACCAGAGCCCTCACCCCCTCCTGCACCCCAACTTCCTTCCCCAGCCCAGAGCCTCTGCCCGCACCCTGAACGCCTCATTTCTGGCCCCACCCCAGAGCCTGCACCCCCAGCCGGAACCCTCACCCCCTCCCGCACCCCAAACTCCTGCTCCAGCCTAGTGAAATTGAGTGAGGGTGGGGGAGAGTGAGCGACGGAGGGGGGGGAATGGAGTGAGTAGGGGCGGGGCCTCAGAGAAGGGTTGGAGAAGGGGCAGGGGCAGGGGGCAGGGCAAGGGTGTTCGGTTTTGTGTGATTAGAAAGATGGCAGCCCTAGTTCTCCTGTTGGAATAGGTAATCCACCTCCCCGAGAGGTGGTAGCTACGTTGACAGAAGAATTCTTCCATCAGCCTAGTACCGTCTACACAGAGACTTAGATTGGCTTGACAGCGCCGCTCCTGGGATGTGGATTTTTCACACCCCCGACTGCCATAGTTAAACTGGACTAATTTTCTAGTGTAGACCAGGCCTCAGTGACACTCTCTGACCCCTGAAATGTAAACACACAAATAGTATGAATGAGGGGGAGGGGTTAAATTGCATTTAAATTGCTCATTGTGGTGATGGTATTTTCTCCCCTAGAATGTGCTGTGAAAACTCAACAGTTGTATAAGCAGGGGAAAGTGCTTGTGTACAATGAAGAAAATAAAAGGCATAAAAATGACAAGGCTTGGCTAAAGAAAGCAAGTTTTTTTGGTCTCTGTAATGGGCTCCATGCTGCAAGGTGCTGAGCCGTC